GCGCCGCTTATTGCGCTATGCCGGAAGGTGCTTGTTTAGAATTCACCTAGCACCGCCTATTTTGCAGTTGATTTTGCCGTAAATCTTTCCACTGAAATGTCGGTTGCTGGTAGGTTGAGTAACCTTTCTGAAGCATACATTGGAGTGGTTCCTAGCGCGCTCCTTATGCAGAAGACAGCAAGTCAATGTATTCGCTCTATCTGTATAAGACTTTGTTCATAGCGGTCCACTACGCAGAACACTATAAAGCAAAGCTGACTTCACTAACGCTGTGTAAGAGGCTTGCATGACACCAGGTGATAAACCTCAAGTAGATCGTAGCATAGTTTTACATGCGTACTGGGCACAATTGACCTTTTTCGCTCTCTTCTCCACATTCCGCTTCCTTATCAGTTGTGTGTCCAAAATTACTCCCAATTGTTAAATCAACTCCTTTCAGCATCGAGGGTTTCCATGACGTTATTTTGTACTTCATTGTAAATAGTGATATATCCGTTTTATCGGCATTTACTTAAGGATGGCCGATATCGCCCATCGCTGTGTGACTTCTAGAACATTATCCATCACATTGCTGATTGTATCTAAGAATTTCCACGTCATGAGTATAGCTAGGTCGTATGTATAGTATATTAGTTTAGGTGCTTTCCTTTTAAATTTTTCCAAAAGCTGATTAACTGCATATGACCATAGAAGTGTTGTAGCGCTGAAGTGTTGTAGCGCTCATTTTCGTGTAATTCAGAAATTGGAGCTAAGAATTCTTTTTTCTGCTATTTTAAGGGGGTTACATAAGTTGATAGGTTTCAAAAAATCGAATTTTTTATCTTGTCTTATTATTCTACTATATTATTCTACTCTAAAATATTGTCCTAAATTTTTAAGCTGATCCGAGCAATAGTTTCGAATTTATTTTTTTTTATTTTTTTTTACAACTATTTGAAAACAAATTTCGGTAAAATTTTCACTGAAATTTCCATTTTGTTCTTGTAAAAATGTCTGCCAAAAATCCAGTTTTCAGTATTTTTCCTTCGTTATCCTGCCAACGCTGACGCATATTTTTTCCGAGAGGTTACCGGAACCGGCCGAGTTTAAAATATTGTTTTCCAAAAAATTGTTTGTTAACAGTGTATATTTGTAACAATAAAATATTTTATTTCCTATATGAGAAAAAAAAAGTGAAAAAAATCTATTTTTACCCGAGGAAATCATGTAACCCCTAAAGATACTATGGTTCTCGCCTTAAAGCATTCAAGGAAATTGAGACTCGTACATGTGCTAAATAAGTGGTGATTTTATACATTCCATACGCTCCAGGAGTCTTGATAAGAAACACTTGGTTAACATTTCGAAAAAACCGTATGATGCTGGTGGAAAAGTGCCATCGCATTATAGACAATGTGCCATAAAAGCCAGTCTTTCAATATTTGAATTGTATGGTAATGCTTTAAGTCAAAAATTTTCCATTTTAAATCGACCATTAGATCGTAGCCATGATACAGCAAAGCATAAAAAATTTGCGCTAACGTCATAGGAGTTTAAATTGCCAAAATGGCAAGGTTCCAAAAAGAAGAAACAAAAGAATACCCCATTCTTATACAGTTTCAAACATAAAAGCGATCATATTACAATTTATATGTTTCATATGCACATATCTTGAAAACATAAAACTTCGCTTTTGTTTTTCCAACTCAATTTGCTCACCAATGGCATACAAAAATTATTGATTTAAATCAATCGCTTTGGATAATTTGCTTAATTTGCATTAACTTGTAATTTATATTCACTTAACTCAATAAGTAACACATAACCCGACATTTGGCAGCGGCAAGTGGCCTACAACATTTCGAAAACCCAAAATAAAACATTAACTCGGTGTGGGGTCGCGACTAGGTGGAAGTCTTATTGATTGTGTCATTAAAGCGGGCGCGAACAATAGCAATAAGTTGCGCGGCGTGGCAAGAAATTCAAAATCGAAAATAAATTTCAGTAAATTGTTATATGTATTAATTATATACACACGTATGTGCATCTGTATGTTTGAAGAAAGCGCGTGGAAAAATATGGCGAACGTTACTGCTATGTCTGTAGTTTGTAACCGGCTTAATGTATGCGCTTCATTTATGAAATGCATATGAGCGCGTTCATAATTGCCAAAATGATGATTTGTTGTACTATTTAAAAATGATTATAGTCAAAAGGCGGTTTAAAAATGAAAAGACTTAATAATGCCGCGTGTTGAATAGTAATGTAGAAAAGCAGAGGCGTACGAAGTGTCGTTGAGAAGAAAAAGAGAAACAATTTATACAGTTCTATTTAAACTGCGAAGTACAGTTAATACCTGCAACAAAAGGCATGTGGAACAAAAAAAAAAATAAAGAAACAAGTCGAAATCGATAACTCTGCATTTGAGTCGGAATTATTAAAATGAGGCTGAAACAATAAGATTGTCATATATTCAAAGGTGGAGGGGAGATTTTTTGGGAACTGTTGACAGAAGACATTTTCTAAGTGTGTAAAGTAAAAATTGTTAAATGTCTTCCACCAGAGGATTCTCCATATCAGCCCAATTGTTTATAAGCACTTTCAAAAGATTCCCTACCGAAAAAATATATATAAAAAATAATAAAAAATAATAAAAAACAAATAATAAGAAATTAAATTCTCCAGAAAAATTTAAAATTTTAAAATTAAAACTTTGTATTTCTAAACAAACATCGTGTGCGCAATCGATGCGAATGTTGGAAAATGCTTACAGTGATTCAGTTTTATCAAAAACGCAAGCCTACGACTATTACAAAGCCTTCAAAGACGGTCGACAGACTGAAGACATGTCTTGTTCTGGACAACCTTCGACCTCTTCAACTGATGAAAATATAAAAAAATTAAGAATATGGTATGGTACTCGAAAAATCGGAAGGCAGAGCTTTGTTGTTGCTTTCATAGCTATCTTTTTATATGAAAGCAGAGTCTAAAACATAATTTGCGAATAAAAGACGGCTTTCCTCAATGTCTGGTAAGCAACCATATGTCAGCTGCTAATCAGGTACAGAGAAAATTAAATTGTTATCACCTCGGATAAAACTCTGAACCTTCTTTTACTTTATTTGAACTTTTAGAACCTCGAACACCAAATGAGCAAAGGTCTAGTAAAAATATTTTCATTATTTTTCTAACAGTTGGCAATCTGCATCACGCGTTGTGTACGTGCGACCAGGCTGCACTTTATGATAACATTTCGTGTTAAGAAAACTGTTCAAAAAGTTTTGTGATTGCTTGACCCGGTATTGGTTGAACACACGTGAAAGAGGAACACTAACAAAGAAAAATACGTTATATTTTACAATTTTTTTTCAATAAGCAAAAAGGCCGCCCCAAATTTGAATAATGTTTATGTAATGTTAATGTTTTAATTTCATGGATTCCGTTCAGGTAACTTTAATGTAAAAAAAGCGCCACAGTCTAGAAAAATCATTAGAAATCATTAAGATAATGGAAATCTTCAAGTCGATTGTCCAGTAGCTCTGAAACTATTTATATAAAGCTGAATAAAAAAGACGCTTGATGTATGGATGCGACAAGAGTTAACCAAAAAATACATGACCCGAATTTCCAGCTGTGAATCGGAAAAAAGTAGATCCATTTCTGAAACGGATGGTTACTGGTGATGAAAAATAAACATTTATGATAACGTCAAGCGAAAAGAGTATGATCAAGTCACGGTGAGGCGTCGTAAACGGTGACCAAACCAGAATTGACTTTCTGCACAGTTTTGCTATGGGTTTGGTTGGATTGGCAGGTTATTGTCTATGGTACTTCCGACCAAACTTTTATTACGTACCGTACTGTCAACAATTGCACCGTTTTACCGTTTGCCAAAATCAGGTCACAAAATAATGTATTTTAAAGAATGGAAAATTAACAGGTCCATTGAATACTCCCCGGCCTCCACATAGATGTCGCTAAAATTCATATTCACTTCACTCCAAACTCCGTTTGATAGTCATTCGAGTTCACTGCACACTACAAGGTAATGGTGCTGTATTTTGGAATAATTTCTATTGTCTGCCTTGAAAAGGGAAATACCACCAACAGTAACTATTATGCAGCGTTATTGGACCGTTCGAAAGAAAACGCTGAAAAACGGCTGCATTTGAAGGAAACGTAAGTGCTGTTTGTCATAAATTAGTGCCAACGTTGAAAAAAATACATGAATTGCGCTTCGAATTGCTTACGCATCAACCGTATTCTTCAGATCTGGCTCCCAAAGACTGTTTCTGTTTTCAGACCTCAAAAGAATGCTCGATGGGAAGAAATGTCGAATGAAATGGTGATTGCCGCAACTGAGCGCTATCTTGAAGCAAAGGATAAATCGTACTACAAAAATGGTATCGAAAAGTTGGAGAGTCGCTATAATAAGTGTATCACTCTTGTTGTATAAACAAAAAAAAAAAATAATAATAATAAATAAATAAATAAAACTTGTTTTACTATGGTATACCGGAGACGAATGCACCCGTATATGATCGCAAAATATAGACGCAATGTGTTACATCTATAATGATACTATTAAAGAGCTGAAAGAGTATAATATCTAATACTGTTTCCCATAATTTTTATAAAAAAAAGTAATTTCTATTAATTTTTGTAAGTATTTATTTCATTTTCGCTGTATATTTAGATTAATATTTAAATAAATTAACATACATATACAAATCGCACTTAAATATTATATCACAATTTTTTAGACATTATCTGGTCTATATATATGTATTTATGTGTAGAAGGAAAATCTTATGTTTAGACTTTATTTGTTATACATAAACTAATTTGCTCACAAAATCACACGTAAAACATTTTTATTTGCCTTACAAAACTCGACTTACAACCGTTACTCCTTTCCTTAAGGCTAGAAACTAGTGGCTTTGTGACTTGAATACATACATATGTACATATAATATATAAGAATATACATGAAATATTATTAATTTTAGTTTAAGAGTTGATTTTTTTTAGATAGCTGGAGTAGTAAAATAGCAAGCTGAAGCTTAACTTGAGATAACTTCTATTCCTGAAGCTGAAGCTTTACATGAATTTACTTTCATGACACAATTTTTTTAATTTAATTTTAAAATTTTTGACTTATATAAATTTATGAAAAATAAATTCTTTTCAATGTGATGAGTATAATAACATGGTTCTTATAATAATAACAACAATAATTATTGTTTTGAAATTTTTTAGCAGAATTGTACTGACTTTTTAGCACCAATAAGTGATATATAATTAGATTTTCTCTAGTAAATCTAGTAGATAGAAGTTTTAAAAAGACTTCAGTAGTTTTAAGAACATTCTTTCTATATCAAAAATAGCACAGCTTTCTCTGAAGATTGACTTTATCCAACAAGTTTCGACATTTCTTCGAAGAAATATTAATATTTCGGAATCGGAAATATCAATCCGAAGCTAGTTTGCTAGGTGCGCTTGAGTTTAAGAACATGTAATAAAGATACATATTATATAGGAAATATATATAATATATATATATATATATATATATATATGTTTGGTGGCGACAAACGCCCGCAGTACGGGGCTGGCAGATCGAGAAGACTGCAAGAAATGTCTAGCGCATGGCACCAGGGAAATAATGGAGCATCTCTTGTGCACTTGTCCCGCATTGGCAAGACTAGGCTGTAAGCATCTGGTGTCCGAAGGTATGATACACTGGAGAAGGTATCGACAGTGAAGCCACTGAGTCTGCTAAAATTCGCGTCAAGCGCAAGTATCCTAAGGGACGACTACTACTCCTCATGGACCTAGTAACTGAACTCCATCTGGCATCGCAAAGGGCCGAAACTATGCGTAGCTTATTGGACAACCGGATTAAGCTAAGCTCATATATGATATTTAAGCATTATATATCTCTTTTGAAGAAAATACGAACTTCAGGCATATCACAAGCCTCTTAGTTTAGTTGCAAAGTTTTTCAAAGAAAAAAAAAAAACTTACAACTTTTAGAACCCAACATTTTGTAGAAAAAAATCAAGAGATAGATTTTCAAGTATATATCTAAAGTAATTTCACCACAACTAGATGGAGGGAAAGATGCATAACCATGTACATACGTATAAATAATTTAACTTGTATCAGTCAGATTTACATACAAACATATCAGATTTGTGATGCTTTTGGTAAGGACTTACAGGTTCCAAGACATTACAGTTACACTAATACACATTTATGAGCTTAAAGCTATGACTTTACAGTGACTTGTGCGGAGCGCCTCAATTACTTAATGCCCTACAATTACACATACAACTAACTATCAATATAAATATTAGAATTTCTAGCCCTAACTAATTTAGAATACATTTTTACATTGAGCACCGCAAGCGTTTCTCTTGGGCTTTCACAAAGTCTTCAACGCCATCGCAGATAAGTTACTAGCTGTTACTGATCATTTGCTTGCACTTATCCACCTGTCCTAGCACCCGATCAATGCGATCGTTTAGTATTTTTATTGATTTATCCGGCAACGTCGGCAGCACATCGCGTACCTCGGCGCTCGCCGTTTGTTCGAAAACCTCGCGAAGTTTACGACCCGCGCCAGCATCGCGCAGCTGCCGCAAAGCGCGTATGGTGGGCTCACGAAAGACGCACAAGTTATTCAGCAAGAGGCCATGGTAAGCCTCGTATTTCTTGAGCAAGCGATAACCATGTAGCAAGCCGGATTCGTTGTCGAGGAAGATCAGTAACTGCGAGTTGGACTGACGTGCTAGATTATGCGCCGGTGCGGCCATAATTTCAGCGTTCCATTGGAAGTTGTAGAGATTGTTGACGACACGATCCAGATTCGCAATCAAATAATCGAACACTATCAAGTCCGACCATTGAGCGAGTTCAACCAGGCGCTCAAGCGCCAACGAGTTTGGCGTAATGGATATGTTGATGGAAGCATTTTCGGCAGCTTCCACGCTAACAGAGCTGCCTTTGTCAGCCGTCGTGGTCGTGAACGCTAATGTTATATTCCAAACATCTTGCTTATTGAGATGACGATCGATCGGTTGGAAAGGTTGTGGTATGCCGGCTGGTTCGAGATTTGGCAGCCAACGCGTCAACACCACTGGGCGTTGCTGTTTCCATTGCGCTTGCATTATGTCATGCACAACGTTGGTCCATTTGTCCGATTCCACATTCACCGTGAGTACGGCGCTGGGTGCGAGATTTGTCATATTCAATAATCGTCCCAAGTAGAAGGAGAAAAGTTCACCTTGTATTTGGTCGGTGTTTTGACGATAGCGCGCACAGGCGCGTGTACCATCACGGAAGGTGAGCAGCCGATTTTGCATGCGTCCGCAGCCCAACTCTAGTCGTTGCACCGCCGTTTCGGACGTAACATAGGCATTCCAATCGCGTGTGTCTTGTGCGCTGAAACCTTGTGGCAGCGCGCGCTCTACCAGCTCACCCCAGTATATGTTGGATTTGATGATCCCTGGTGCAGTCGGTGTTGCCGACTGGTGTTTCTTCTGTGCACTCGGTCGTTGTAGTATATTCTTCGGCATGATGTTGTTGTTTTCTAAAGTTTGTTGCTCCGACCAAGTTGGCGCGCTGAAATCGTGCAGCATTTTCGAAGTACGCTCCGCTGTCGGTCGCGCTAGAGGTGCATCCGCCGTGCGCTGTACACGCGCATCGCGTCTATCGTCAGCATGATGCGCGCCGTCGCTCAAAATTTCCTCCGCGCCAATCCGGCCTTCGTGTTCGCTAATGAAGGCGACGTTAAAGGGGCTGTGCGGCACCTCCTTGAGGTTGGTTCTGTGCGTTGCCGCTGTTGTGCGATTAAAGGGTGTTGCTAATTTGACTTTATCATAAGGCAGCGCTTCCCAACCCGAAGCAGTTAAGCCGAGCGTTACGTGTTGGCCCACTATAGCTGCAGGCGGCGCGGGCTCCGTTGATAACTTTGAGAATACATTACTCAAATCCACCATAGGCACGAATATGCCGAGGAATAGCCCACAAATGAATGCCGCCAAAATGCAAAGTAAGCAAGTTTGGCGCTGAAACCAACGACGTCGTCCGAGCGGCAGCAGTGATAAGGTGGACGCTAAGGCATCAGCACCGCCATAACGATAGTGTGTCATTTCGCTTAAATCACTGAGCGTTGCCGTGATTGTATTGATTGAATCGTGTGGTATATTAATGTCGAGCGCAGCTTTCGTCTGCGGCGTTGCATATAAATGCGTGTTACGGCATGCGCTATCGTTTTGGCAAGTTCGTTTAGTCGACTTTGCATGCATTTGTGTTGCGATTTTGTAATTGTCGTGCATGTTTTCAGTTTTTCAAATTGCTAAATTTGCTTCTAAGCTTAAAGCTTCATTAGATGAAAGCACTAATAGCACTTGACTGAAAGTTCTATCAGCACTTGTATGAAAGTTGGCACACTCAACGGTATTTTTATGTTTACTTTGTGTCTGTCGCCATAATGCTTGGTAGCACTTGTCTTTCAAAGCTTTCAATTATTAAATTTGTTTAAATTTTGTTTTTTACTGTGGAGCTTGCATACGCGACAGGTGTTCGTTCGTGAGCTTCCACTCAGAAAATTTATGTAAACGATTTCACTTTATTTTTACTGTGGAGCTTTTATGCGCGACAGGTATTCGTTCGTGAGCTTTCACTCACAAAAATTTTTAGAACGTTTACAGTTTTGTTTTACGGTGGAGCTTTCATGCAAGACAGGTGTACATTTCCTTTGATAAAAGCTCTAACACATAATATTGGTGTGTGCTTCAAATTATTGTTTTGGTCTCAACGGTCTCTTATGAGATTCAAGCTCACTTATAGCGCTTTTGGAGAAACATAACTTTTTTAATATTATTATTTTATGGCTTTTTCTCTTTAATTTTTAATGAATTTTTTTTTTTAATTTTTGCTGGAACCTTTTTATCTAGCTTTCTTCAGTAAATTACACTATTTTGTTTGTAGTTTACGAAGCTGAAAATTATGTTTTCATAGCGCGCTCATAACAAATTTTATTTGAGTTTGGGTTTCCAATAAGAAATTCCACTTTTGCCGTCGGTAAGCGAAGTCGAAGAGTTCGCACAATAAATTCGCTAACGTCAATCGTTTTGCTCAAACGTCAATTTTAATGTCGGTGATTGTAAATCCTTTTTAGTGTTTTTTGGGGTTTTTGGCGACACTTTCTTTTTCCTTTTTTATTTTTTCACATTCCTTTCATATAGACACGAATTTTTGGCACCGCGAGCAATGAATGTTTGTGCGATTTTGCTGACAATCAAATCGAAATTGCATAAAAATGTGTTCAATAAATTTGTTTTTCATTGCCTACATTCACTAAATGGTAGTAAAACGACCAAAAAACATGGTGAACGGCGCCGACACCGTTACATATGCGCTTGTCGTACAGTTTGTGGGCAACAATAATAACTTTCGTGACGATATATTTTCGTTTTGCAAAAACCACTTCAGATAATATCGCCCAGCAAACACACAGTGTAGCGCTCAATGATTGTTTGTCTTATAACATGGAGTTATTGTGCAATTTTTTCAATAAAAATTTTATGTTTTTGCCAACGCTTATATAAAGCAGGTTGTATTAAACACAATTGGCTTGGTTTTTAATCATTTTTTATAATTTATAGTTAATGCAAGATATTATTTAAACAGCACCACACAAAAAATTCATCCGTAAGAGGCACCGCACGCAACGAAATTCAACAGCAGACTGGCTTGAAAACGCTCACAACACCACATTAAAGCAGGATGGGCGCCACAGCACACTCAGAGTCAGCCAGCCGGCTAACAGGCGCGCTCATCTCAATCTCAACTCAGTCCGTCAGCCGAAATGTGACTCACAAACACCAGCAGAGACCACCTGAGCGGCGCGCGGCGGCAAAGCACCTGAAGTGCCTCTGCGCCGTGTTGTATATAGGACATTGTGCGCCGTGATGCTCAATGCGCTGGAGACAATTGCAAATATTTGCTGTGCGTTGACATAGAGGCGCGCGCTCGTGTATCTCCGCGTGTATACGGTTGTGGGGTTCGTGAGGGGCATGCAACATGCGCCACTGTTTACACGCACACATGCAGCGCAGTGCTGCGCGCACTCTTAACTTAGGTCAGCGGAGAACAGCGCGCTCATCATAGTGAAGTTGGTGTTGCTGTTGTTGTTGAGTGGTTGCTGGCGTTGAGCATTGTTTGATCTTCGCTCGTCGCTGCTACAATTAAGAATGTGTGAAAAAGAGCATAAACGTCCGTAAATATTAACTAATTGCTCTTGTTTTAGTCCCTACAATGTTGTTAGCTCAAAGTTTTTGTTTTTTCTTCTTTTTGTTTGCATATTTTTAGTTAGTTCGGGCAGGCAGTGCGCATTAAAAAGTTCCCAAACTTAATTAAGCTGTTGCATGCGGTGGTATTCATTCTTAAGTTTTGATTTCGTAGCGTTGTAGTTTAAATTTTATGTATTTAAATTATGTGTTTAAATGTAGATTGGTCGATAGGGTAGGCAGTTGTAATAAATTTAAAATTTTACTGCAAGTTTGTGTCTTAAGTCTTTAGTTCTTTGGTTCAAATTTATTGTTGCGGCTGATAAACACATGTAAGTGTCGTTAATTTTAGTTACGTTGTTTGCGTGTGTGCTTGGTTCTGATAAATATGTACTTTTACAAGTTTTGTTCAATCAAATTTGTTTAAGTTTTCTGATTCGCTTTCGATTTGCTGTTGTGAGGTGTGACTGATGAATTAGGTATTAGTGATTTTTTTCTTTTTTCTACTTTTTCCAAACACTTTCTTTTTCATTTAGCGACATACATATATCCTTACCTAAAAAGCAAAATAACTTAATATCACTTTTCATAAGTTTACAGCCGAAGGACAAACGATATAATGGAAACCACTCACATTGAAACAAAATTTGAGTTTTGATTCTTTGCGCTTTAAGCGGGTATTCCGGTTTAGAAATTCGAAAAATCGATTTTTTTGCATATTTTTATAGTATAACTCTTCAAGCACATGTCTTTAAGAGGATTTTTCGAAATTCATATTATTTTCCGAGTTACAGCTCATTTAGTGACGCGCCGACAAAACCGTTTCGCGGCTTTTTAAAGTTTTCAAACTTTAAACTTGTTTTTCTCATACTTTTCTAGAAACGGTGTGCATGATATCTCATGTTCTACTTTCTTATACACTATAGTATCGCACTACGAAGAGTTTTCGAAAGAGCTTCTTTTTTTTTTTTTAATTCCGAACCACAAAAAAGCGGAATAAACGAAACTTTTTGTTTTTCAAAAAAATACCTAAAATTCGGGCTTCTAAACCAGAATACCCCCTTAAAATCTGAAAAATATTGTGAATATTGTAAGTCAGTAGAATCCGTTGGCAAAAAATTTACCGAATTTTATAACACCTACTCTCCTTGGTACCCCTAATATCTAAACAGCCAAATATGCGAATTGAAACAACAAAATATTCACGAAAAGATACTGCATAAAGAAAAGAGCTATTTGGGCCTGTTTTTTGGTGTCAATAGCATCAGCAAGTAGTCATTCCGTTTCAATCAGTGCTGATCAAAGATTATTTATCGGATTTTATAAATTTTGCCAAATGTTGTCACCAAAAAATGTTCGAGAAAGGTCTAAAACTATACAAAAAATTGATCCGAACGAAAGAAAAATTGAATGAAGATAAGGCCCGCAGCTACCGTGTCAAGCATTTCTCATACGAATGTAACATTGACGCGCTTCGTACCAAAAATATTATCCACAGTGGTTTGAGATGATAAAAGATTTATGTTTAGGTCCTCTGATATCTACATGATGCCCACACGCCGACTTTCAAGTAAAGTGAACAAGTCCGGGTCATTTTTGATGGTATATATTTATTTACCACAAAAAAAAAAAAAAAAAATAAAATTTGCTAACTCAATGGTTTGCCTTATAAAGTGATCAATTCAAACATCTGCCAAGAAAATCACTTTAACACCAACTTTCAAATATTTTTTCCGATTTTAATTTTTTCTGTAAATTCTAGGATACTACTCTTCTTTTTTATAGGCGTATATTTTAGAATCATCAGTCCCCAGGAACCCGCCACGTAAAAAAGCATTCCTAATGAAAAGAAATGCCAATTTATTGGCTTTGTCAAATATGGGCTTCAAAAATTATAAAGCAATATGCTAAGGAGAGTTTATTGAATCCTCAAACAAAGGCATATGGTCAAACTTTTTTGAGTCAGCAAAATGTTTGAAATTTTCATAATTCATGGAAAAAAGTGGTAGGGTACTTGGCCAACGCATATCTATTGTAATAAATAGCTTTTAGTTAAGCCATGTATTCATTTAATGTATACCACCCTAAGATTAAAAAGTATATAAATGGAACCAAAACTGTTCAAGCCCCTTGGTACGGAATATGTGGACCCCAGAGCTAAAGTTGACTTTATAACGAAAATATCGGTCAATGTGTGAGATACAGGTACGTATTTGAAATTCTGAGAGAATCCTTTCCTGACAGTAGTATCTATGTGTATCAAAAATGTGTTGAATCGGATCAATACTTCCCGGAGCCGCCATATACCTAATATAAAGATTTTCGAACTTCCGGGTGACTTTGTATCGCATGTTACGGCCAATATGTGAGATATCTCAATGCATATTACAGTACGTGTTTTACTTATATAAGTATATATTTCTGGCTTAAATATATATTTAGTGAAAACTTGATCTGGCTTATATACTAACACACTCATTCATATTGAAAAATCAGTTATTTTGGCAAAAATTGATTATGGATTCCTAATATTTAGTAAAATTCAAAACGAAATGGGGCAACACCAAATTGGCGAACACCACACAGCAGCGCGACTGCCCACTGGAGCATTCCGGACTATTCCGATAGTAAAACTATTAATCGAAGCAGGTTTATCTACCTTTGCACTTTTCATCATGACCACTAAACTGAAATGCGCAGATCACCTATCAAATTTGCCCTAAAAACTCTTTTTGAAAATTTTAAGCAAACACACACACTCTACACACATGGTTGAAAGCACAGTAATATCGCCAGATAGCGCAAAGCAGTAGAGACAAGTATATAATCTTCAGTGACTGCTTATCATCACTCAAACCTATCTTTAACGTTATTTTTTCTGACCAAACGATTTGCCAAATCAGATACATACTTAGGCCCAACGTAGGGAAAATTAAATAGTCGTGGATTCCCAGTCATATCGGCATACAAGGGAATACTATAGCAGACTCCGAAGTAAACTCCGAAGCCTTAACAAAAATAACACCAGAAATGTAGCCAAAAAATTGTATCGTGAAACCGAAAAGGATTGCTGGGCCCGATATTCTCACTACTACAAAAACATAAATCACAAACGATGTCCTCCAATCCTTCCTATAACAATAACCAACAGACAGTGCATTATACAGCGTGCATTTCAAAGTAAACAGGACTTTAATTTTGGTTAAAAAATCGTCCTTCGAATGTTGGATTCTGAGCGGAACTGCGTTAAATTGATATTTTGGAGATACTCAATTCCATTTCTATGAATTTCAATGATGATTTCGGCTGATTTTTGATGAATTTACGCACAGTTCCGATGGAATTTCCGGTGATCACCACATGTTGATCGTCATTTATGTCCTCACGACCACTTTGAAAACGTTGAAACCACTCGTGCACTCTGCTACAGGATAGGCAATCATCGTCATAAACTTGTTTCATCAATTCTAAAACAAAATTTAATGTTGGCTCTTCATTCGAAGGTCGCTTTCGCACCGATAACACAAGCATGCTGACACTTAAAACGCAATAACTTCGCCTCCAATCGATGCAATTCTCACTGGAAAATCGGTAAAGATAGCAGATTCTAAAGCACCAGTCGACACTAGGGGGCGCTAGATTCAAAAAGTCCTGTTTACTTTCTAACGCACCTTGTATATACTGGCTTTCGACTTGGTCACACCACATTAACACATACACATTTATAGGGAAAATACATAACAGCCAGTTTGAACATATCGCAACCTGGAGAATCTCACAATTCAACATCTAGTAGAAAATTGTCAGCCATTAGAATACGTCCGATTAGAACCGAATATATTATTAACAGATTTTGTAAAATTTATCTGTACATTAAATATTTATTTTTAAATGTGATAAGGTAATACTATAATTAGTTTAGTAGATACATAATTATAATAAAATAATTTTTAATTAATAAGTTTTCGCTGTGGATGTCGGTTTGATGCAACCCTGTATCGAAGTTTATTTTAATACGAGTTTCTGTAAACAAACACATGCCATAGCCAACTCTCAAACGATAACTGTCATTTGACTCATGTAAACACTTGATGTGCTTTTTGGCTGTTGCTATAACAACAAAAACAACGAAAATCAAATCAAAAGTTTACAAACTTGGCATTTGCGTAAAAATATACAAACAAAAGTCTGAAGCAAAAGTATATTTTGTTTACAAACAACAGCAACGTGTCAAACAAATGTGAAGTTTTCAATTCAATCGAATAAAGTCACAGAAAACCCGGAATTATTTTACGCTACGAAAATTTCAAATTTCCAAACTATGTGTCGATATTCTTCTAACGCTTAAATTGTAGTAAAAAATTCATAAATAATTTGATATTTCATCAATGAGTCACAAAGTTTTGCAAACCGCAAACCGGCCAGCGACAAACAACGACAGATA